AATGTCGATTGGATTTCTCGAGACAGTTGACTCCTCAGTTGCTGATGCATAGGACGTCATGCTGGTTGAATCGTCACCGTCAGTGAGTTCAATCTCACGGTGCGAGTGTATGTTGTCCAGGGGGATGCGGCGAGTGACAGAGGCCTTTCTGGAGCCTTTGGACTCTGTGAGCTGAATATGATCACCCTTGCCCTTCCTGGAAGGCGTCAGTCGAACCCGAACGCTCGGTTTGCGTTCAGTGCTGCCCGAGTCACCGACGGATGATCTTCCTCCCTCAAAATATTCTATTAACAGAGAGGTCTGCGATTTGCTGGCTTTATGGCCGCGAGTGCGGATTGTGACGGGAGTTCCGTCGTCAGGAATCGAGTATGACGACTTTTCGTCCCCGGGCTTGGAAAGTTCGGTGGAGGTTAGTTCCGTCGGGGTTGTTGTGTCGGTTTCTGTCGGGGCGGGGAGAGGGAGAGGGACTTTTCTGGCGTCGATGCCCATTGTAATGTGATATTAGGTGAAGAGCGTTCCAGTCTCTTCGGTCAGTGCTTTGCGTGTCGATGCTCACTTTGAAGAAAGTGAAAGCGCAAAGTCGATTGCCAGTGCGTGCGAAGGCCAACGTGAGGAACTTGCACGTCAAGGCATCCGGGCACTAAGGTGAAGCCCAAAGGAAAAAAAAAAAACTCTAGATTTTCCCACCTATCAGTCTCAGACAGTCGCCACATGGGACGACAACTCCTATCCGAGAACTCACACAAAGAAACAAAAAACTGGCCGAAATGCAAGTCGAGATGAAGGACGGTCTGGACAAACACCAGAAGTGCTGAGCGGTGGGGGGTCCAAAAGGTGGGCAACTAGCCGATGGCAGGGTTAATGTTGCAGCCGGGCAACCAGATATGATGAGCCCTCTAGGCAAAAGGGAACCGGGATGTGATGGGTCGAGGGCTTTAGCGGCTCTCCCCCGGACCTTGCAGGCTGGTTGCTAGGGGCTCCCGAAGCGTGCTGCGAACGAATACGTCGGATGGCAAAGAGCAAGGAGCATGCATTCGTTTTGTGCTGAGCTGTGTAAAAGAAAAAGCCCCGAGCCAAACTGCGTGATCACCTCGATTGTTCGCAGCTCTGCGTTGGCGCAGGAGGATTCTGCAGGGGAGGATGGCAGGCAGCACGGCAGCCAACGACAGAGTGATGCCCGACGTAACAGCTTTGTTTTGGTCGAAATGTGCGGCTGGGGTGGAACTGCTTGATGAGTTGGCGCTGCCGGTGAGCACCACAGCGTGGGCCAATAATTCGTCGAGGCAGGGGTTTAGGGGGGTTGGAGTCTCTGGAGGACAGCAGCGATGGGCTGGTACGTATTCGTGCCAAGCACCTGTGCTGCTGGGGAACGGTTGGCTGCCCCACTTTAGCCAATCTGCTTTAGGGCAGGTGCCACTGAGGTAGCAATTATTCCCATCCATGGGAGAGAAATGGAAGGCGGGAACGATTGATGCTAGGCATTCGCCAGGACGGGAGCCTTCATTGTGTCCTCGGCATGAGGGGGTGGTTGGGGACAAACAATGGGCTGGGCTGGCTTTTTCCCCTTAGGCCAGCGTTCTAGCGCACACTACTGCCAGCAGCAGCTTGAGTGAAATATGTACATCTCCGCGACAACCGATACCGGCTTTTATGAGGCCTTTCGCCCGTCCGGCCACTATTTATCTCAGTGGCGGCCTGCCTGGTACTTCTGAGGTACATGGAAATGGAAAAGATTCTGTCACGGCACGATTACATCACATTTGATGAATCTCTGGTACTAGTACCATTTTCTATCAGACACCGCTACTCCACATGCCTAGGCTGTTGGTAGCACGTAGCAATAGTAATGAGATATCCCCGGGCCACTGCCCATCGTAATGCCGATGGTCAGGTGCGACAGATTTCAATGTGAAACAGCCTTTCGGAATCACAGTCGCACATGAGCACCATCTGCCAACCATCTGCCCCGTACGCACGCGAGCAGCAGCAGTGGCGTTGCGTTTTCAACGCTCCTAACCTGGGTATCCCTACCCTTAGCCCTACCTTACTCCCGTTCACTGACCACATCCACCCGAGACAAGCAAGGCAGGCCTTCATTTTTGCTCTCGATATGCGAGCAAGAGGCCCTAGGCCACCTGCCGATCGAACGACTGTGGGTATAAGATTCCACACGCAAGTTCTAGTTAGTTATACCCAGGCAGTCCCCCATTGACAAGGGCGGGCTTGACGGGGAACATGCAAGTGGACATCACATGTCACAGCATGAACAGAAGCGCTCGGAAGATCGACTTTTGCAGGGGTCATCTCTTGTTCAGTTGCAAATTGAAGCAGAAATCATCCGAGTCGTAGTGAGACCTCCGTAATCCCTACCTGGCCAATAGTGAGGTTTCACCCACGCAACTGAGCCTATCAGTCATCGATTTGAACTAATTAGTTCAACTCCAAGCGGTTCAAAAGATGTGATGGACGGGAATTCTGGCTCAAGGACTAGAGTGCGCTAGCATACCCTCATGACCAAGCGAAAAGTAAAACATTTAAAACCGTCCTAGGTGATTCGTAACCATTGTCTCACACTTCGAGCTCCAATATTGATTTCCGTCTTTGCAATTTCAAATGCAATACGCACGCCGCCACCTTTTTACCCTAAAGACCAAAATCCAAATATTAAATAGAATTTTTTTCTTTAGGTCCAAGCACCTAGCCGATATAGCAAGTATGTATGTGTTATAGTCTCCGAAGTAGTACTAGCATAAACGGTTTGGCAGGCCGGTGAGTGGTCTTTAGAGCATACATATTACTCCTCAGCCACTATTTGAGCCACTTCAACCTACAAAAAATCCACCACATAACCAACCACCTCCTTCACACAGACAGCCACCAACCACTCTCTATTAGCACCACATCCAAATTTACGATACATCCACCATCGCGCATTCTAAAACAATGCCTCGTGCCATCAGAGGTCCGTTAGCTCTCGGCCCCTGTACGGGACACCTAAAACACCAGCCCAATTGCGCAGTAGCTGCTAACACACTTGGCCAACAGGCGTGCTGATCGAGTGCGATCCCTCCATCAAGTCCATCATCGTGAACATCGACAGTAAGAACCATGACTTCATCATCGAGGACCTCGACGAGGAGCGCGTCGTCGTCAAGGAAAACATGGTCGGCGAGCTAAAGCGACGACTGGAGGATGTGAGCCATCATCCCACCCGTCTACATTATTACTGGCATTGCACGACGACTTCGATACTCGTTCATTGTATACTAACAATCTACCACCCAGCGCCTTAAGGAAAACCTTCCTCCCGTAGAAGAATCCGGATCCGAATAAACCCCCGCACCCTCCCCGAACTCGCACGACAAATCTACAGCTTCTCAAACGTCGGCTTCGTCCGCTTCAGACCGCTCAGCAGAGCCTTCTGGAAGTCCTCGCTCTGCACGTTCGCCGAGTTCCAGATAGTCGTGTAACGAAGGCTATCCACGGTCCCGTGATCCCTCCCGTAATTGAGCAGCTCCTTGGTGCCCTGGACCGCCACGGGGCTCTTCTCCGACAGTCGCGCCGCCATCGCCAGGCCCGCCTCCACCGCCTTGCCCTTGTCCTCGTGCACGGCGCTGACGAATCCCACCGACAATGCCTCCTGTGCTGAGAACTCCCGCGCCGACATGCAGACGTCCTTGACCCACGAGGTCGATCCCACAACCTTGGGCAGGCGGGCCAGCGTGCCAACGTCGGCAGCGATGCCAATGTCCACCTCCTTCACAGAGAATCGGGTGTTGGCAGCGCAGATACGTATATCAGCACAGGTGGCAATATCAATAGCCAGCCCAAACGCAACACCATGTAGCACACAAATAACAGCTGTTTTTCCCAATCACACCCCAGGTTAGCATCGTGCATGAACGGTAGACACCTCGTAGAAGCAACCATCCCTCATAAAGAAAGACCCAGAAGGAAGGGACAACACTTACGTTTCTCGCACTTCTCCATCGCCCCAACACAAACCTGAAACTCCTCAATCGTCGCCCTCAGCGCCTTGGCCCTCCTCGCCACGTCCCGCGACACCCCCTCCTGCGCAAACATGGAGCTCGAGTCCACCACGTCCAGCCCGGCCGTGAACGCCTTGTCCCCCGCGCCGCTCAGCACCACCGCCCGCACGTCCGCGTCGGCGCTCAGCTGCTCGAACACCCTCCCAAACTCCAGCCAGACGTCGCGCGCGAAGGCGTTGAGCTTCTTGGGCCTGTTGATCTCCACGTGCGCCACCCCGGCCGACGGGGCGCTGACCACGAAGTGCTTGTACTTTTGATACTCTGGCGACGCCGCTGACGTTGTCATTTTGAACGGATGTGAAGGGGTCGAGCTTAAAAACGAAGATTCCGGGGGTGTAAGATTACTCTTCGAGCTATGAGAGAAATCAATGGGGTTGAAAAACAATGTCAGAGGAACACTTTTCGGATCGCTGGGAGGCAGTTATAAGCCACAGGTATGATAATTATAGTACTACTACTCCCTGCCGTCTTTGATGCCGAGGTCGTTACTGAGAGCCGCCCCATGCCGTGTGGGGTCCCCGGCTTCCCACATGACAGGCACTCCGCCAGGCTAGGCAAGAGGATAATACACTGAGCTAGGTTTCTAATTACTATCTACCATCGTTCCCAGAGATGTTATAGTGGACATCTTCACGCGGTTGCTCACTGGTTTTATTATCGCGTCGATCGAATGAAACATATATTAATGTACCAAAACCGGCAAGAGAAAAAGAGAAGTCAAGTTCCATCTATGTATAAACAAGCCAGAAAAACCTTGGCAGAAACTGCAAACCGTTTACCAGGGGGCAAGCTAAGTAGAGCCCCGACCGTTACCAGACGCCTTGTTAATCTGCTTTGACGTGCGCAATAACATTTTACCTCCATCGTCCTAAGCAATGCAAGTTTACTATATCCATCCTTCCACCTGAGACCGTAGCCGAGTCCCCGTCATTAACCCAGAAACATCTTCATTTACAGCAGGAAAACGCCAACCATGGAGCCAAAAAGGGTGGCAGCGCTGACGGCAAAAGGAACGCGAGTAGAGGGGGCAGCACTATCGTCTGATCCGCTGCTGCTTCCAGAAGATGTAGGAGAGGCCTGGCCAGATGTGGCGCTGGCGGTGGCAGTGCCAGAGTCACCATCGGTCTGTGAGCCCTTGCCCTTCAGGCCAGGACCGTCACCGGCACCGTTCTTCATGTATTTTTCGGCCTGGCTGGGCATGTCTGGAATGAAGGTGGAGTCAACGTCCCAGTCGGCGTCCTTGGAAGGGCACTCAGAGGACGAGGTCTCCTTGGCGGCACCGCCGTCGGTGGTGGGCATGGGGTACTTGGCGAGCTTCTTCTTGAAGATATCGAACTCATCACGGTGGACGACCTTATTATCCTTGATGTCGACGATACCGTACTTATTGGTCTCGTAGGTGTACTCATACATGAGACCACCAGAGTAGACAGCAGTCATCTTATCGCTCATGAGAGCACCGAGTTCTTCGAATTGACGGGGAGTGTTCTCAATGCAACCCCACTCAGACAGGCTGGGTACAATATTAGCATAATTCAATTTGCTGAGGTCAGAGAAAGAGGCTTACAAGATAGGGAGACCATAGTCAGTAAAGTTCTTGACCTTGATGTCCCAGCCGGAGGTCTTGAAGTCACTGTTGCACCAAGAGTAGTCGTTGAAGGCGAAGAAGTCGGATCGCATATCATCAGAACCACAGTTGAAGTAGTGGGCGGTCTGCATACGGTTCTTGGCGACATCAGCAGCGGAGTAACCAACGGGGATCTTGCGGAGACCACGAGTGCTGAGGAAGTTGCGGATATCACGGGTGACGGCCTTGACATAGGGAGCGGACTGGTCAGTGCCGTTCTCGTCGTTGATGACCTCGTTTCCGGAGAAGAAAGCAGCGGTATTGTCGTACTTGGCGAACATCTCAACGGTGGCGAAAACGCTCTGGAGGTAGGCAGCGTTGTAAGACAGGTGAGGGTCGGCACGGTTGATGGAGTACTTCTGGTTGTTGACATCGAGAACAACGTAGATGCCGGCATCAGCCAGAGCATTCATGCACTCATCGTGGTCCATGCTGTTGTCGACAGCATAAACACGGATAGCATTGATGCCCAGGTCCTTGAACTCGGTGATGTCTCGCTTGCAGACAGTCGCATCGGCGAGGGGATCCGTGTTGGCAGCATCACCACCGGGCTGGTAGTCAATACCACGCATGTACCAGCGCTTGCCATCCGCCCAGAAAGCTGTTCATGGTCAATCATGTGCATCATCTCGAGGCATTAGGATTCGAATTGAGGTACTCACCTCGGCCAGAGGCAGAGATAGCGGGGAGAGAAGAGGCGCGCTTGCTGGGTGGCTCCTGGACCGTGCGGGTGGGGTTGGCTTGGACGCTCGCCAAGAGCCCGAGGGACAGTAAAGCGAAAGACTTCATCTTGTGGATTTCACGTTGAGAGAGTAATCGAGATTAATTGCTGGTGTAGTGGTGACTTTCGAATAGCGAATGTGTGTGGATGGTCCAAATGTCGAAAAGGGAAGAAGAAGAGTCCCCGAAGAGAGTGAGGGAACGTCAAGAAAAGGGAAGGGAAGACAGTGATTAGGAGTGGTCTTCTCAAAAGTCCAACAGCGAATGAGTTGGAATGCAGGAAGGAAGAAGGGAAGAAGGCTGGATGTCGGAGAGAGGAAGAGGGATGGTGTTGGAACGGAAGGGGCCTGAATAAAAGAACAGGATTCCGAGAGAGCAGCAGGTTGCTCTGAAAGCTTGCTTCCCGGGCCCAGTCCAACCCAATGACGCCCACACGGTGCACAGGAGAGCTGTGGACCGGTGGCCAATCATCCTCGCAAGATGGATGATTGTCTCGTGTTTGCCAAACATGGCCGCACGGTGCATGTTTCGGCCACCGTCCAAGGAAAGCAGCTCCACTCACATTTGGTGTGGAGGGAGGTGCGCAAAGACGTCAGAAATGGAGGGTGTCTGCATCAGTAGAAAGGGATGGGCCACATCCCTGTGGGGCCTCCTCCCAAGCAGCAATGCGTCCAGCCAGGCACAGTATGTATGTATGTACGGCAGAGGGAGACGAGATATCGTGCGGTCGATGGGCGTATGTTACAACTGGGTCTCATGAGCACTGGCCTGAGGATTATCCCTCCCGTCTCCACCGCAGATAGACTCTGCAATTAGGCATTGCTGATGTCTGCCTGCAGATAATAATACTTGATACCGAAGGACCTACCTATTCTCGCGGGCTCTCGGACGCACGAGACCCAGGAGGCTGCCATGAGATGGCCAGGTTTCCATCACGCAGAAGGGTAGACACGAGAACAGTACTCGGGCAGGTCGTTGCAGATTCGGAAAACTGGAGCAAGCCAGCGTTGGCAATTGGTCGTGCTTGATTCACTCGTACCTGGACACGAGATGAGATGAATTTGCCACATGCAGCTGCTGTTGGCGGTTCTTTGTGCCTGCCGACGGAACCGAAAGGCGCCCTCTGATCAGGCTAGTGCAAGCCCCAGGAACCCGTTCAAACCGCCATTGCCCTTCTAACTTTTGTGGTTTCCAGGTGGTCAATGGCTCAGGCACGGATTATTGATACGAACTAGGCAGTTAGTGAGGTATGTACTAAGGGAGCTGCCCGTCCACGATAATCCCAGGCGGCTTGTTGGTGTACCCATACTTCTTGCCGCTGTACTTTTGCCATTCCCGTATCCCAAAGCTTCGCCTCAATGCGCATGACAGCCTGTCACGTTGAAACCTGTGACGCCGGTAGATCGAAACGGGCGGCTCCTGCCAGGCTTCCGACCAATAAATATGCATATTTTGGTCTGGCGAGCTAAGCTTCACATCCAAGCGCCAGGGAGGAACACAATCTCCAGTTCTCCTTGAGCTTTGCAATCTTCTCGGGCTTGCCTTGCCAGACATGCTGCTCTCTAGTCAGTAACGGCTCAGCTGATTGTTGGTTCCAGCTGAGTAGATAACCCAGTAATACACATCTATCTTCGGCACCAGCGGGCATGGATTTCTCGGAGCCGCGGTCTCCAGTCAGCGGTGGGTTGCCTGGGGTTCCCTGCCAGCATGCATCCCGATCCACGAGCCCCCTTTCCTCAGTCCAGCGTACAAGACCCAGTTGCATGCTTTCCAGACGGGGACCTTCAGTAATCCCAAGGAAAATCCTTGGGATGGGGTGGAGGGAGTGATCTTCAGGGGCTGGTGCTTCCTACCGCGAAACGACCGAGTGAAGCCTCTGCCGGAAAACTGGGGCGTCCAAGCAGCCCTCCTCAGCCATCCATCCATAATCTCAATGCTGTTTCTAAAATTTTAATCGGCGCTCCTCAGCGTACAGTGCGCTCCACCGCACACCACAATTAGCTATGGGATGTTTCAAGCAGGCCGGCGCGTCATAGCTCCAGTCGCGACACCCGCAGTCGACTTTATTATTGCCATCTACAGAGCTACCGTGGACGGGCTCCGCTTGATCGCCAAGCTCCAAAGGCCCTGGAGCCAAGTCTTGGCCAAGAGATCTCCCCGGAGTGGCATTTCATGGCGCAGAAGACGCCATCGCTTGAGCCTCACCACACCCAAGTCCCAAGCGGCGAGGAACGCCCTTTTTTTCCCAAGCAGAAGCTGCCCTGTTTTAGCATTCCTTCAACGGCCAGTATAGTTTCGCGGAGACCCTGTAATTTATGGGCACCTGGACTCGCTAGGTAGGCGCCGGCCGGTAGGGCAGGTAAGGCGAGCAAGCCCACCCACCTATGGACCATATCAGAGCATAAATAATTACGCATAACGTAGTGCGTTGCGGAAAGATGGGACCATGAGGCTGAAATCTTATTTGTTTTCATGTATCTCCCGCCCCATAGAAAACTTCCAGGTCAATATATATTACCACGTCAGATCAGCTACATCGTAAATCAAGGCAGAAAGGAATGATATAGTCTATACGCGCCGCTAAACAGGAAAATGAGTGCAGGTGGATGACCCAAGCTATTTTAGTGGGTGGCCTCCATTTAGATCGGCCCAGTCTAAACATCAAAAAGCTTCTCAACCCCGGCCCAGGTTCCACGGGCTCGCTCCTCCCAATAGCCATCCTTGCCTCCTTTAATTTTCCAAACTTCTTCCCCTTCGGGTGTGTCCTCGGCCTTCACAAACCACCGCGGCTTGTATGGCTCGCCGCTGTCTTCCACCACCCGTCGACGAGCACGCTGAGCCTCCTCAAGCTTGACCTTGACGTCATCCGCCTCGTCAAAGTCGCCAGCTTCGGCCAGTCGCTGGTCCGGTCGGAATCGACAGTCACTAGGAGGAAGCTTGTCCTTCTCCACCGCTGTGATTTCGTTCAGGCTGGCCGCGAATACCGTCAAACCATACGTCTGCGCAGCATTGTCGACAAGCTCGCCGACATTCCAAATATCGTAGCTGGCTGCCTTGCCGGGTCCCACCGTCCGGAGCTCGCTTGTCCAGTTTCCTGTGAGACCGCTCCCGGTATTGCTGCCGTCAGGACCAAATGTAGTTGCGTGAACTTCCTCCACCCTTCCACCAAACATGCCCTTGCTCTTAAATTCGACAGTGGCCTTGTGTCCGGTGCTGTCGTTGAACACGTGCATTGAGCCAACAGGCTCCATATATTTCTCACCCATCACCACATTGCGCAAGAACATGGTGGCAATGTTCCACGAGTAGAGCTCGTCTTCCCCGTCAGGTAACCGGAGCGCAATGCGGACGCGACCCTCGGTTGTAACTTCGGCACTCTTGCCCCAGAACTTCTGCCCCGGTGCAGGAGACTGGGAGAATGACCAATTGGCTGAGTCTGCCTGCATTGCCAGTCTGAGGGGGCGATGCTGGACCTTCTCTACGAGGAGTCTGAACCCACCGGGGACCTCTTGCTCTGTACGCACAAGTTCAAATGTCTCACCTAGCAAGGGAGTGAAAGGTTTCCTTGCAGCGCGCTCTCGAGCTCGATTGCCGCTAAAATGCGAGACTGCAAATGCAGTAACGTACAGGAGACGCTCGGTTGGACCCTTCTGTCTGACGGCTTGGTCCAGTAAAGTAGCATATTCCAACTGCTCTGCCACCTTCTGCAAGAGCGAGAGAGGTTCATTTGCAGAAACAGGCATAGCAATAGTGCTAAAGTCCTTACCAACGTTCTTTCGGGCAAAAGCAATCAAGCTTGGTGGCGCAACTGTCGCGGGGGGGATCGTCGTTCTTCTTTGAATAGGCATGTTGACGGGCAGTGGTGTGAGATTCTTTGGTTTGGCGGGGAAGAGATGTCCCACATCTCCAGGGATGACATCTTCATCGTCGTCCACAGATGAGACGGAAGAGTTATCATGAAGTGATCCGACCTCGTCAGAGTGGGTTTCTTCGTCATCGCTTCCATCAACCTTGAGCACAGCGTTGTCGGCCTCTTCAGCATCGAAGAACTCGTCCAAGGATGATGCCGTCGTTTCTATACTCTTGCGAGAGGCTCCAGCCGGCGACAAGGGGGATTGGAGTCGTCGGCGCTTGCTCGTGTTAATGAGTGAGGTAAACTCGCTCACAACTGAGTCAAGGTCCGTCAACAGGGATTGACAATGATCTTGGAGTGAAACTTCGAGCTGCGCTTGGCTCCTAGACGGCTTCCGACCATGATAAGATACTCTTGCGCCGTTGGCAGATACTAATGGCACCACACCGTCAGGCGAGGGCACAGCCAATGCCGAGGCAACCAGTTTCTGTGTGGAGGAGGTGGGCGGGGCGGCAGTTGACTTGCGCCTCCAAAATGACCTTTTCTCGGTGGGAGCAGGGAAGTAACCATCTCTATCCTCACTACCAGCACTAGGATGTCCTGGGGACAGTAAGCTGCTGGCGCTGGGCGAAGCCATTGGGGCAAGGGCATGGGCATTGACATGGGCCGGGAGTGATGCCTGGGCGGCCACCTCCTTTGTCAATCGTCTGAGGGCATCTCGGGTCCCCACGACACGGCTGACCAGCGCCTCGACTTGCTGCCATTCTGTATCCTCCTGGTGGCTTGTCAGGCGAGAGGGTTTAAGCAGCTGGGGAGAATCCGCATTTGGTCGGGATTTTGTAGATGGTGATGGTCGAAGTTGCGTCTCCATCCCGCGTGCAATCCGGCTTGCCTTTTCCAATGCCCGGGCCCAGTCTTGGAACTCCTTGCTGTTGGGCGCTCTGAGATGCCATACTTCAGCTCCAGAATCGATGCTGATTTCCCTCCTACGCTCGTCTGCAGCGATAGCAGCCAAGCTAAGAGGAATCGCGCCTCTGAGCGCGGAAGAATTGCGGTTGTAGTAGTATGATAGCGTGCAGGTAGAGTAATCGAGAGAGAAGAATCGGCGAGCGTAGCCCTGACCTTTCTTACGCCGTCGCTTAGAGAGCGTTCCAACATGATGGTTGGGAGATCCTCCTTCACTGCGACCTGAAGCTGAAGCTGGACGAGCTGCGGC